TGGGACGTGTCCCTGCGCTCGGGCTCATTGCCGCAGCCGTGATCGGAAGCACCCGCCGCCATCTTCAGACTCTTGGGGACCGAGCTGAGCCACCTGCAAAGCTTGACTGCTTTGTCATAGCCCCGCATCAGGACCACCATCCTTCCTACATCAGGACGTCCCTTGGCCCTGCGAGCCAACTTTGTTCTGCATGTAGGTCCTTTCCTGGCCGGCAGGGGGCGCGGGAGCCTGGGTGATGGTCACAGCCCAGCCAACCTCCAAGACGCTATTTACTAGTGGACTGCCAGGTGGCCCTGTGGCCATACCTTAGAGTCTGCTCAGCTCACAAGTATTCTCGGGGCACTTACGAAGTCCCAGCACCGAGCTGGGATCATGAAGGGATGCCAGCGACTCTAAACTTGCCCTAGACCCTCGACAAGCACAGAACTCGGCAGGAATGGAGATGCCGTCGAAAAGGAGCTGGGAGCAAAATTTGAAACAGTGCCTCCCTGTATTCCATGGGCACTGATCTGCGCTTAGCTTTGAGTTGAGAGGGAGGAAAGCTGAGGAGAGTTGGAGCAGAAGATTCCAGGGAGAGTCTTGGGAGAGATCTTTGACCGGGGTTTGGGGAAATGGGATTGTTGTAAGGGACAGGAGCCAAGAGCGAGTCTCTGGGCAGGGGGCGTTAAGGAGCCATCCAAAGGGTGTGAGGGATGGTGGCAGGGGTTGAAAGCCAGGTCTCAAGGTGGGCAGTCTACCTCCCATCCACTGTCTCCTGGACCATCATATGTGCAGTCATCTTTCTACACTTAGCTCATACCTTGCCTTCTCTGTCACTATTTCTCTATCAAACATAAAGCCGAGAACCCTCAAGATAAACATTCTTGCCCCATCTCCAGTGGTGTCCATTTTAAGTTTTTGACTTTATCTTCCTGCCTGTTTCCTTCAGTTTCTCCATCTCTGAGTCAGTCTGTCATTCCATTACTTAACACCTTAGCATTTTGTCTTCACCTAGTTACAATGTACTTTTCTTTCTTTATTAAAACATCCCCAGTTATTCCCCTCAGGCAAGTATCTCCAAACCAATGTTATTTATCAAAGACTATTGAAAGAGCCTCAGCTATTTCAGGAATGAATGAGTAGGGATATTTACCCACAGATCAAGATCTCTTTCAGGGTCAGGAACTAAAGAAGAAGGGTTAAAGAGCACCCCACTCAGTCAACAAATATTTATTCAGCAACTACTGTATGGCAAATACTGTATACAGTGGAGATGAGTAGGCTGGGTCCTAAAGGGAGAAGGGAAAACTGAACTCAGTTCTAATAATGCTTTTGCTTTCAACTGTTTTGTTTAATTTGTCCAAAGGCAAGAAATCTCTCTGGTAATACTAACAATTCGCTTCCATATTTAATTAAAATATTGGTGCTTTTTTTTAATGGTGAGCAATATTGTGTAGTAAAATATGAAAAGCACTTTCTTCGTAATTAGCTATATGTTGCTCGGATTGGTAAATTTGGTTGTGAGCATGAATGTTTGTTTTTAAGGTTTATTTTTTTATTTTTAATTGTGTGTGTGTGTGTGTGTGTGTGTGTGTGTGTGTGTGTGTATGGGTTTGTGCATGTGAATGCAGGTCCCTGTGGAGGCCAGAAGAGAGCATTAGATTCCCTGGAGCTGGAGTTACAAGTGTTTGTGAGCTGCCCAAGATAGGTGCTAGGACTTGAACTTGGATCCTCTGTGAGAGCAGTTTTGTTTTTAGTTTTCTGTTTTTTTGAGACAGGGTCTCCTTGTAGCCACAGGTGGCCTGGAACGCGATGTGTAGACCTCAGTCTCACAGAGACTACCTCTGTGTCCCAAGTGCTGGAACTAAAGACGTGGACTACCAGGCCCAGCATAGTATGTGCTCTTAACCAGTGTGCCATCTCTCCATACGCTGATGGTTTGGGATGATAAAATTATACCGATAGAGAGGTTGGAGGAAAGCATTTTGTAGGTTGTACTTCTGGGAAGAAATCTGCCCAGACTGGCAAATCAGGCAGGTTCCTTTCCCTTCCTAGAAGCAAGGCTTGAACCTTGGCTCCCTATGTCCCTTCTGTCTTCTTCAAGCCTCCTTTGTCTTCTGTTCTTCTCCTCCCTTCTCCCCAGTCCACCAGGGGCTGCTGGTCTGTTCAAGTGGGTACCTTGGCTCAGGACTGGGTAGTGAAGAGCACCTTTCTGCCCTGCAGCTCTGTACTAGTCCCCAT